TCTGTGTTGGATTTTTTGAAATCAAATTTAGAACGAAAAAGATATAAGTCGAGGTAAACCAATTTTTATGAGAAAATTTTAAATCGAATTAAAATGAAAGAGATTTTAAATCGAGAATTTTTTTTAATAATAAACCAAATTAGCAAGAAAGAACAAATTTAATTCACTATTCATAACCAATGAAAATAATATCAACATAGAATCAAAATATTTTACCATTATATACCCAATAAAATAACATATCCATCACAATTCCTAATACACATTTTCTTTCCCACTTTCCTCCATGAAACAAAATTTTCCTTCCAATTTCCTTAACCTCCAAATTGTCCCTCCCTTCCTAATTCCCTTCCCCTCCCCTCCATTGTCCTCCCTTCCTTCCAGAACGTAAGTTAAAGGAATTATGTTGCAGTTCGAGTTTGGGAATATCTGGTTACTTGGTTTGCGGTTTTAGGTACACGTCGGGCAATTCTTATTGTATGTGGTTACTTGGTTTGCGATTTTAGGTACACGTCAGGCAATTCTTATTGTATGTGGATACATCAAGCGATTTCAATTCTATTTGGGTTCATCTGGAAATTCCGATTATTATTTGAGTGAATTTTATTCAAGGTGGTAAATGGTTGGGATGGCTTGAATTTTTTATAAGATCTTTTTCGATTCTCTTATGTTTTACCACTCTATTTAGGGTTAGAGGTATAATTCTATAGATATCTTCCTTAACATCCTAATCTATACCGAAGAACCAATTTTGAAATGTACTCTCACTCTTAAATATGGTGAGATTCATTGCTCTCTCTTAACTAATAACTAACTCATTGTGTGCACATGTTCCAATTAATATGCACTGTTCAATCACTCTAAAGAGAGAGAATCCGAAGAACCAATTTTGAAATGTACTCTCACTCTTAAATATGGTGAGATTCATTGCTCTCTCTTAACTAATAACTAACTCATTGTGTGCACATGTTCCAATTAATATGCACTGTTCAATCACTCTAAAGAGAGAGAATCCGGTCAATAACCTTATGGTTTGTAACATTTTATAACTCTTCACTTATCATAATGCAACTAACTTTTTCCAATTAATTTTATTAGGCTATATCATTTTTCGTTTTAAGCAATAATTTTTTTTTTGTACAGAGAAATCAATTAAGTGTGCTCTTCAATATGACATCCACTTTGATAGATTTTGGAACAAAAATAATTGAGACATTTGTTACTAGTCCATACCATATGGTAATGTTTAGTAGTACATAAGATTATACAACGTTGTACAGAAGTGTATCATGATGGTATGAACACACTAGAGCGTAGAATGGTTGCATACATGATAGTATATATGTGTTTGATCCCAGATACTTTGGAGCCCAATTCCCCACCAGCTCTATCCATGTGCAACAAGTTCTAGGCACCTGACCTGCACACACGCACACGGAGGAGGGCGCCTGCCGCCTGGGCCCGTTAGTCCTTCGACGATCAAGTCAGTTTGGATCTTAGAGAGAGAAGTACCAAGCTCTAGTGTTTAGTGGGAGAATCCAACCTGCGTAAATGCTACCTACCGACTCTATTTATACTCACCCATCCCTGGACCGGGCTTTTTCCACCCAGCTCCACGTCAGCATCGCCTTTAATTCTCCGTACTTCTGTCAGGCTGGGCGCCTCGACCAACGTGTCAGGCTTATGATAAATGCAAGGCGCCCAAACCGGACTCTCTTGGAGTCTTCCGCACCTTGTCTCCTTGCTTCCTTCATCACACCTGGGCTTGGCCCCGCGGGCTGGCCCATGGAGCAACCCTCTTCCTCCTTATTGGGCCGCCTTGGGCCTATCTTTGTAATTCTCCCAACAATTGCCCCCCCCCCCAGAGTTAGGCTCTCAAGTTTCCGAAACTTGAGGGCCTGACTATGTTCAAAGGCCTAATTATGCTAGCCTCCCCTTTATCGTCCGAAACTTGAGGGCCTGACTATGTTCAAAGGCCTGATTACGCTAGCCTCCCCTTTATCGTCTCGATCTTCCCTTCAAAGGGGACCCGACTTCAATGAACCACTCGCGAGTCCACCCGTCGTTGTCCGGTAGGCGCCCTGCCCATACATGCCACTTTTATCGGCACCTTGGCACTGCTGAGCAAGGCGCCCCACACCTCTCGCTCCTCTTCTTTGCTCCATTGGGCGCCTGTTATCGTGTGTTTTTTCGCCTATCGCATACCGCCTCGCCTCACCGCTGAGTTGGGTGCCTGGTGATCTTCAGTCTTCTCTCAAGTTTTTCCTTTCCGTCCGCTTGGTTTTCATATCTTTGCCTAGTGGGATGCCCTATCGTTACGTGGGAAATGCCCCCTTTCCTTGTTACGGGCGCCTCGGTTTTTCGAGACAGGGCTCCTATCAACTAATGATTTCTCGAACTCGGACACATGGATAGCGTGCTCAATTTATCAAGTGCTGATTTTATTGTTTCTTGACACAGGCACCTGGTTAGCGCGCTCGATCTGTCAACTACTGCTTTTCATCTTTGTTCACTTAGGCGCCTGCCTTGCGTGCTCCCCATTGTTAACTACTGATTTTAACCCTTGCGTGGGAAATGCCCCCCTTTCCTCGTTACAGGCGCCTCGCTCTTACGAGACGGGGTGCCTATCAACTAATGATTTTTCGGACTCAGGCGCCTGGATAGCGTGCTCAATTTGTCAACTGCGGATTTTATTCTTTCTTGACATATGGGCTGGTTAGCGTGGGCCACTTGCCCCCCTCTCGGACGGTTTTTGAAATTCAAACACCCGCCCGAGATCTTGATACATGGCGAACGGACGCGTATCCCTAGGCGTGCCCCTTCCCTTCATATAAATACTTCTCTTTGCCCTCATTTTGTCTCCTACCTCTTCAAAGCACGCCCTCACTCTCTCTAACTTCTCTCAAGCCTTTGCCTTGCCTGCCCCTCGCACATCCTTCCCCGCTCGAATCTTCCTCAACATGTATGCCTCACCGAACCAAGCTGCTGGCACGGGCGCTGCTCCTGATCGAGGAGCCCCATTAAACCCTAGTAAGCGCCCACCTTTATTTCGATTTTATCGTTTTATTTTGCATCCTTGGTTGTTTCTTTTTGAGGTATGGGCGCCGTTTACTTCGCGTTGCGGTTGTGCGTCTGCTTCGCGTTTTGCTTTTAGAGAGGGCACCTCCGTCTGCTGGGACATTGATTGCTTCCGCTCCGGGTTTCATGCCAGCGGATGGATCGTACAAAGTCACTACGTGGGAAAAAACTTTTCCCCCGGACTAAGTGTCGCTCCACACCTCCGAAATGCCGTTTGATGTGGCCGGGCCAGACCACCAATCTACCGTGACACCTGCGCGAGTGATAGAATTGGTTACAGGTCTACAATTGCCTCGTGACTGGTGGTATGCGCCTACCTCCCCGATTTCCAAAGTCGGGTTGTGCGGCCCCAAATGGATCGGGGTTTACAAGGAGTACTGTCACTTCGAGTTATGGTTCCTAATCGACCGCATTTTGGAGGGGATTTTGGCAACTTGTAGCTGCAGCTTGGGGTGCCTATCGCGTTTCGTTATTCTGGTAGTGATTTTGTTCAAGCTGAAGTGCAGGGTGCACAATGTGAGGACGACATTTAACCTGTTCAGATACTTTTTCGACATGGTGTCACTTGACAACTGCCTATTCCTTCAAAAGCGCACGAAGATTCCTTAAAATTTCGTGGTTAGGTTCCCCAAGCTAGGGAGAAGTTGGTTCAGCAGATTCTTTTTCATGAAGGCATATCGAGATTCCTTATTCAAGAGTGGGGGAGCCTTCTTGACTGAATGGGAGCTTGGAGACAAAAAGAATTTTAACATCGAGGTTCCCCTGTCGCAGGACGAGATCCGGGGCGCCCAACTTTTATGCACTAACCCAATTAACTTGCGGGTGACTGCTAATTGCGCCCCATTTTTAGCAGAATACTACAATGATGGTGTGTGGGGCGCCTTTGATGATTAGTTTGCCTTGTTTTCGTTAGGGATGACAACAAAACCCGAACCCACGGGTACCCACCCGACCCAACCCGGTCAACGCAGGTAAAATCCGTGTTGATGGATTTTGGGTTTTGGGTTTAAACCCGTTCACTATTCACCGGGTTGGGTTTGGGTTTAGGTAAACCCGCCCCATGGGTACCCGCCCACACCCATATAATTAATTTTCTCGATATATTTAATATTCTAAACAACTAATCTTATTTATGTTTGTGGAGACATGTCTAATTTTTTCTTTCTAATTGTGTAGAATGAAGTTGATGTTATAGAGTGGAGAGTGAAGAAACTTAATTGAAAGAAAGAAGCTTTCAATTAATCATGTTATTTATGGATAATTTGTGATTTGCTTCTATTTCTTGAGTTTTCTATATTGCGTTGAATAAATTGTATAGTTAATTTGTGATTTGCTTGAATTTTCTAGAATGGTGTTTTATATATTGATTATTTGTGTTGAGAGATTGATATTTGACTTTAATTTTGAACTTGTTATTGTAAATTTTGTGCGACAAAAACCCGTGGGTACCTAACGGGTTGGGTTGGGTTTGAGTTTTACCCCGGGTTTTTTTTACGGATAAACCCAGGGGTTTGGGTTTGGCAAAACCCGACCCAACCCGACCCATTGCCATCCCTGGTTTTCGTCATCCAATCGTGTTTTGACTTTTTCGTTTCACCTTGTGTAGGGTCTGATTTTTCGAGCATTGCGAACCTAATGAAGAGCCACCTCGCTATGCTGAATGCTGGGGCGCCCGGCTCCTCAAGCGCCAATGCGCCCCCTCCCCTCGTGCCAAAGAAGAAAAAATTGGCAAAGAAGGCCACAGGTGGTGCCGGTCAGAGCAAGGCACCCCGTCTCGCGAAGACCGTGAGCGTGGCGTCTTCTGCCCCGGCTGCGGGCACGACAGAGCAGCCCGGCGACCCGATCACCTTCGACATGCCCGCTGAGGAAGAGGAAGAAGAGGCACCTCCCTTGGTGAGTCGTGAAAAGAGGGCAAGCGTCCCCCTCTCTTATGGCAGCAAAAAAGCTCGCCTCACTGATACAGAAGGGCAAAGTTGTCGCGGCCAGTCAGGGTGGGCGCCTAGGCGCCTAGGTGGAGTTGGACGAGGATGGGCACCTTGTTGGCCCTGACGGGCGCCCTCTACTTCTTCAGCCCCTTCGGAACGAGCTTGGGCGAATCGCCCTGCCTTGCTCTCCTCACGCCGCCGTTGGTAGAGGCTCTGCGATGAGCTTGGCGATTTCCGCGACAAAAATGCGGCAGGTACCCTCTGAGATCGATGAAGAGCATCTTTTTGCAGAGCTCGCCCAAGCGGGCGCCAAGGTATTTGGTTATCTTTTCACGAGTTTCCCAAGTTTCCCATGTTAGGTACTAACTTAAGTTTTACAATGCAGGTGCTCCTTATTTGCGGAGAGAGGCGCCCCACGCCTGAGGCAACCAAAGGAGAGTGTCTGGTTGGTTCGACTTTCCTATCCATGGCAAAGGACAATCTTGCCATGGCCAACATGCGCCGCAAGCAACTAGTGAAGGAGTGTGAAGACTCCCAGTTGGAGGTGGCCAATGAGGTTTCCCGCCTACAGACCGCCCTCGATGATGAGCGGCGTCGATGCGAAGCCGAGTTCGGGGCGCAGTTAGAGGCCGAGCGAAAGGATTTCGCGACGAAGCTCTCGGCCTTGGAGTCCGAGAAGGAGGCGCTTTCAAAAGAGGTGTGCGCCCAAGCTAGCGTGATCGACCTTCTCAAGGAAGAGAAGGGGAGGCTTCAAGATGATCTGACGGCCATGTCCCATGTTCACAAAGATTATAAGAAGGCCATACATGCGGCCCGGAAGGAGATTGCCACCCTGAATGCGTCCTTAGACCATTACGAAGACTCCGAGGTTGGGAAGAACCTCTTTGCAAACGCCTGCCTGACGAGCATAGGCATCCCAAAGAAGAAGCTCGACTAGGTAGGGCGCTTCATCGGGCCTGTATGTCCAAACATCGTTTTTGCTGAAGGGCGCGAGGTTGGGCGCGAGGTTGGGCGCATGTGCTTACTAATTATAGGCACTTTAACATTGCTAGGGCGCTACATATATAAGGCGCTTTTGACACGTTATGGCGCTTACTACGTTAGGTGCTTTGGACACAATACAAACGCTTCTCAACACCACACTTGTGACCTACAAAAAAGATGGAAAAAGTAAATACTGCTATCTTGGACCTCGGCACCGCCCGTTAATCAAGCAGAGGAGCCCAAGCATGGTTGGTAGAGACACAAGTTTTGTGCATTCCATTTCCTCTTTACCGCCTTGCCATCGAGGTGTTCCAACTTGAACGTGCTGGTGTCCACGACCTCGCGAACACGATATGAAACTTTCCATTTTGGTGCCAACTTTCCTTCCTGGGAGTCTAGTTGGAAATCACGTTTGAAGACCTGCCCTCCTGCTACAATGGTGTGTGGGCGCATCTTCTTGTCGTAGTATCTTGCAACTTTCTTTTTCATAGCCTCTAGGCGTACCGCGGATACCTCGCATCTCTCGTCCACCAAGTCTAAATCATCGAATCGCTCCCTATCATTGTTGATGGGATCGTGATGAGCCACCCGATAGCTAGGGACAGTGACCTCCATTGTATTGACCGCCTCCCCGCCATAAGTTAGGGAAAATGGTGTTTCACCCGTGGTTGTCTTGTACGTCATCCTGTGTGCCCATAAAACACTAGGCAACTCCTCCACCCATCTGCCTTTGGCACTTGTCGGCCTGGTGTGCAACCCATGCATGATACTTTTGTTGGCCGCCTCTACTTGTGCATTAGCTTGAGGATATGCTACTGAGGAGAACCGTACCACCACACCATTCTCGTCCCAAAATTCGACGAACATTTTTCAATGAAACTGCTTATCGTGGTCCATAACGATGGACTCGGGAAGGCCGAAGCAGGTGAATATGTTCTTCTTGGTGAATTTACTCACCTGGGCCTCGGTGATGGTGGCCAATGGCTCATCTTCGATCCATTTTGATAAGTAGTTGACGGCCACTATCAGGTATTTCATTTGGCCGGGTGCCTTTGGGAAAGGACCCATGATAGACCGATAATTATACATGTTTTCACCCCTATTCTGAAGCCGTTTGTGATGAGGAATCTCGTGTTTTAAGCCGATTTCACGCTAGGTTGTGTGTTTATGTCTTATTTCAGGTCCCGGCGTTGGAATCGAGGCGAAGGAACGAGTTCCGGGTCGAAAGGAGCGAAGTTGGGAAAAAGGAGGCTGTTGGACCAGAATACCCGGCCAAAGGAAGAAATACCCGACCGGGTATATTCTGGCCTTGACCGGGTATTTTTCCCTTCGGGCACCCGTGAGAAGCAGAAGGGGGCCCGGGCGATGGCCTTAAATCCCCGGTCGGGGATTATGAGGATAGACCGGGGATTTTTCCTCTTAGTGGAACGACGCGTTTTATGATTACCCGGTCGAACCCTGAAATACCCGACCGGGTATTTCGACCGGGTATCGCGAGGGCAGCTGATAAAAGAGAAAGAAGGCCAATTTTCAGAGGGTTCCGAGTTTTTGAGAGAGAAAGCGATACCTAGAGAGAGAAAGCGACGAAAGAGAGTTCCCAAGCGCCATAGATCGATCTTCAACACCATTGGAGCCCGGTTTGAGCTTGGAGAAGTGCGATTAAACGTCCAGGAGCAGAAATCCAACTTCACAGTATGATTTCCGCGTCTGAATCTGCTTTTGCTTCTTTCTCTATGGAGTAGTTTCCCCATTCATCTGGGTATGGGGAACCCTAGATTTGTATGCTAGGTCTGATTGTATGAACCCAAGTACAGAGTTTGTGAATTGATTATATTCGATTGAGGTTTGAATGATTGAATGACTTGAATCCTGATCAAATTCCTGTTGTTGCTGCTTTGACCTAGAATGAGAATATTTGCCTAGGTTGATAGAGTACCCTTAATCGAAGGTAGCGAATTGGTGACTTTAGTCGAGGAGCCAATTCGCTATTCTGTACCGAAGTCGATTCGGTAGTGGAGGTTTGGCTTGTTAGGGCCTCAATCTGTTTACTCCGGTGGAGGTTAGTCGCCCGCTAGAGACTCAGATTGAGAGGGTCTGGAGACCTTTAGTCGAGACTTCAGGCTAATTGAGAACCTTCCGCAGTATAACTTTCATGAAAACTGAACTTGGTAAATTGCAATCCGACTTAACTGCAGTCTAGGGGGAACCATATCCGGTGACCTCTCTTGACTTGACAACAACCGTTTACTTGCTTTGCGTTTTGTTTGCTTGAGTTGCACTAAAAGTTCACCGCTAAATAACGAGAATTCACCAAGTAGTCAGCACATCTAGGACCCGGGTTGACAATAAAACCCAAACCCGCTATACTACGCTTTAGGAAGTGGTTGCACTTGGCCATTTTCTAGAGTGACAGTAGGAGTCAGTCAAGTTTTTGGCGCCGTTGCCGGGGACGGCTAGGTTGTTGAAGAAAAGTGATTTCTGTTACTTTAGCATTTTCATTTTTCGCATTGAGTTTTTGTTCTTCCCACTTGTGCCTTCACGGGTTTGCAATGCTTGATTGTGTGCAGATAGTGCATGACCCGTAGCCAGTCGGGAGGTTTACTGTCGTTGAATCCTGAGATTGAGCGCACCTGCAAACAACTTCGGAGACAACAGCGAGCTAGACTGGCTACGGTGGAGCGCCGAGACGGCCAATTGAGCAGCGACACCGAGGACGAGTACGAGATGGAAGGCGATCAGAACCCGCCTCCTCAGAACCAGATCCTGGGGAACGACCCAAATCCCCAGGGAGCTGGGAACCATCATCATCCGCCACCACCGGGTCCCACCTTGGAGTACTACTATACTCCACGGATTGCTGACATCCGCCCGGTCATCCTCTATCCGCCCATTCCTGCAAACAACTTCGAGATCAAGCCATGCTGGATTCAACTCATCACATCCTCTATCCAGTTCCATGGCTTGAAGGATGAGGAAGCCCGTACACCTTTCCCGTTTTCTGCAGCTGACGAACGGGTTCAAGCTGAACGGTGTCCCGGATGACGCAATCCGCCTTCACCTCTTCCCCCATTCTCTGGCGGGGAATGCTAAGAGGTGGTTGGAGACCCAGCCCCCATTGTCCATCACCTCTTGGGACGATCTGGCTGACAAGTTCGTGCACCAGTATTATCCGGCATCGAAGACCACAGAGATACAGCGGGAGATCACTCACTTCCGCCAAGAGCCAGATGAGTCACTTCGTGATGCATGGGAGCGGTACATGGGATACTTCTGGCAGTGTCCCCATCATGGCTTCAGCGATGCTTTCACAGTAGGGAACTTCTACAGCGCCCTCACTCCAGACAGCCAGAGGGTGATTGAGTCTCTATGCCCAGGAGGGGATATCCTTACTAAGACTCCACCCGAGCCGAACCAGATGATCAGTACCTTGGCTGCCCGAGACCACTCTTGGGGGCAGAACAACAGAGGCAGGAACTCCCGGGACCGGGGTGTGCATGCTATGGAGGCCAGGTCCGGGTTAGAGCAGCAGGTGGCTGAGTTGGTGCAGACATTGAAGCAGCCTAACAGTCTCCTTCCGGGCCGAGGTGTAGCTACGCCTCCAGTAGCTCAGTGTTAGTGGTGTGAGAGCCCGAATCACCTGGTGGAGGATTGTCAGTCTATGAGGGAGTCTTCTACTCCCCAAGAGCAGGTGGACTTCATAGCAAATGCTCGGCGCCTGGATCCTTACAGCAGTACCTATTACGAGGGATGGCGCCAGCATCCCAACTTTGCCTGGGGCAGCAACACCAACAAGCCACCTGGGTTTCCAGCAACAGCAGGTGGTTTTCAGCAGAGGCATCCCTTCCAGGCTAGGCAGGGGCCACCACCACAGCAGCAGCCCTTCCAGCCGAGGCAAGGGCAGCCATTCCAGCAGCCCCAGCGCCAGTTTAATCAGCCTCCCGAAGCCGCAGCTCCAGATCCTCAGATATCTGATCTGAAGAATATTTTGCAGGCTTTCATGACCACCAGTCAGGCGAACTTCACGAGGATGGATCAGAACATCGCCTCACTGGAGGTAGGCCAGAGGAACCAAGGTGCCATTCTGCAAGATCTACAGAATCATATTGGGAGCCTAGCTCGCCAGAACACTACCAGGGCACCGGGGACTCTGCCTGCCACCACCATCCCCAATCCACGGGACCCGCATGAGACTGCACACGCCATCACCACCAGGAGTGGCAAGACTACATCTGCTGCTCCTGCCCAGCCCAGGCGAGACGACCCACTACCTGCTTCAACACCTCCAGCGGATACTGCAGAGGTGGGGGAAGGCAGCACATCACCTGCTCCAAAGCCGCAACCTGTGGTTAAGGAGCATACACACCAGCTGCCCTTCCCCACTCGACTCCATAAAGACAAGCTGGAGACAGAGTTTGCCAAGTTCATGGCAATATTGAAGCAGGTCAACATCAGCATGCCGTTCGTGGAGGCACTGTCGAAGATGCCCAA